ACCACCAACAAAACCCCCAAACACTTAGGCATAAATTTAACAAGGTGAAAGACCTCTACAGTAAAAATCATAGAACAATGAAAATAGAAAACACTATTAGATGGAAAGACCTCCCATGTTCCCCATATTCATGGATAGGTAAAATTAGTAACATTAAAATGGCCTTATTCAAAAGTAATCTACATACTCAATGCACTCCTCATAAAAATACCAGCAATATTCTTCACAGACCTTGACAAACCATTTTTAATATTCATACGGAAAAGCAAAAGATCCAGAATAGCCAATGCAATCATGGGCAAAATGAAGATTGTGGGAGGCATCACATTATCAAATAGCTTTGAAATGGTGGTTGAAAAATTGGTTGTGTTGGGGCTGTGGCTGTGGTTCAGCGGCCCTGAGTTAGATCCTCAGCACCACATAAAAATAAAATAAAATAAAGGTATTGTGTCCAATTACTACTAAAAAATAAATATTAAAAAAATTGGTTGTTTTTTCTCTATGTATGTTATTTTATCTCATATGTAGAAGACAGTGGGGGTAGTTACTATACTACAGAGACATAGTAACTAAAACAACAGTACCAGCATAAAACAGGCACATAGGCAAATGGGACAGAATAGAAGATACAGAAACAAACCTACATACATGGCTACAGTCATTTGATCCTTGACAAAGTTTCCAAAAACATACTTTTAAGAACAGAGAGCTTCTTTCAACAGAAAGTGCTAGAAAAATTGGATATCCATACGCAGAAGAATGAAACTAGATCCCTCTCTCTTGCTCTGTATAAATGTTAACTCAAAACGAACCAAAGACCTAAGTATAATAGTAGGAACTATGCAACCATTACAAGAAAACAGGAGAAACACTTCAACATATAGGCACAGGCAAAAACTCTCCCTCAATAGGACTCCTATATCTCAGGAAGTAATAGCAAGAATCAATAAATGGGATGGCATCATCTACAGAAAAGAAAACCAACCCACAGAATGGGAGAAAATCTTTGCTAGCTACTCCAATAGACACCTAATACAGAATACATAAAGAACTCAAAAATTCAGGGGGCATGGGCTTAGAAATGATGGTGAAATGTGATGGACATTATTATCCAAAGTACATGTATAAAGACACGAATTGGTGTGAATAGACTTTGTGTACAACCAGAGATATGAAAAATTGGGCTCTATATGTGTAGTAAGAATTGTAATGCATTCTGCTGTTATGTAAATTTTTTAAAAGTAATTAAAAAATAAAATAAATAATAGGGAAAAAAAGAACTAAAAAATTAAACACCCAAAACCAAATAACCCAGTCAATAATTGGGCCAATTAATTGAACAGACACTTCTCCAAAGAAGTACAAATGACCAACAATTCTATGAATAAAAAAAATATTCAACATCTTTAGTCATTTGGGAAATGCAAATCAAAACTATCCAGATTCCATCTCATTCCAGTCAGAATGGTAATAATCAAGAATGCAAATAATATTAAATGCCAGCGAGGAAGCTAGGAAATGTGCACTAGTACAGCCACCAAGAAAATCAGTATGGAGGTTCCTCAACCAACTAAAAATAGAACTATGATATACTCTTGGTATTTATCCAAAAGAATTAAAGTCAGCATACTTTAGAGATAGATGCATTCGCATGTTTACCACAGCACAATTCACAATAGTCACGTTATGGAATCAGCCAAGGTATCCATCAACAGATGAGTGGATGGAGAATATGTAGTTTATATACACAACAGTGATTTACTCAGTCATAAGGAATTACGTCATTTTCAGGAAAATGGATGGAAATGGAAAAGCACCATATTGAGTGAAATAAGCCAGACTCAGAAAGTCAAGGGTTGTATGTTTTCTCTCAAGTGTAGAAGGTAGTGAAGAAAAAGGAAAAACGAAGGAACATCATTAAAGTAGAAGGGAGGCCAATAGGGATAAAGACGGGATGGGGGGTGGGGCAGACAGGAGCGAAGAGTGGGGGAGATGCTGGGGGGTGAAACTGATGAAATCATGTTATGTGCATGTATAAATATGCCACACTGAAAGCCACATTCTACAAAAGCCACCCCCCAAACATATTGCAGAGGGGGAAAAAATAGGCTAATTCACCACATATGAACTACCTACCACTACAAAGCGCATGGATACATGCAACTTTCTTAATACATGTTTGTTAATAAATTGAGACAGTAAAGGGTGGTCAGGCTATGTATATTTTTACTGGAAAGGTGTCTTCTTGTGGTTCATAATGCTGAAGGTTATTATTTTCAAAACTCAAAGAGCACAAGGTCAGGAGGATGTTTGTGTTCCTTATCTGTGGTGCAATGTTTCTAACACAGATGTCATTATAAACATTGGGACATTATTCACTTCTCTGATGATTCAAATAAAAAATATCCATGGCTATAACTTAAAATAAATAAAAGTACTTCTGTCATCATACAGGGATCTGAGATCTATAGGAGCAGAGATCTCTACTTGCATCTTCCAGGTTCTTAACCATGTTGCAGAAAATAATTTAAGAACATAACTGGTGTAAGATAACAGCGCAAGAGATTTATTAAAAAGCGGAAGTACACACACAGGAATGGAAGTGCAGGAAGGGAGCCCGAGGCAAGCCTCCCTCCTTATGCTGCCAACATTACTCTATCATATGCTGAGTGATCATCACGTATCTGTGGATATGAGGGAATGTGGGAAGTCCAAGTAGAAACCAGTCACTTGATTAGCAGCTCATATCTATCTCCTCCCATGTGGGTTAAAACTATTACAGTGGGAGGTCTGGTAACATCTTGGTCAAAGATGTGCATGCTACAAGGAGTTGTGTGTTCCTCTGGCTGCCTTGGAGCTATCCAGCCAGGGTGTCTTAGCCACTGTTTTATTGGTTAATTAGTAAGTGGCGGTGAGGGCTTAAGGCGACAGAACACAGGTAGGTCTGCTCACAAGTTGTTGTTCTGTAAGTCAATGGTTTCACAGGCATTCCTTTGTTGAGAATTACTGTACTCCTCAATTTACCTATCTTATCTCCTGCACCAGACTTAGATCCCTATTTTTACCAGGTTGCCGAAAGAAGGTGGTCTATCTTCTGTAGCTGCTTCAAGCTGGAATGGGATGTCCTCCCTACCTATCCAGGGATCTAAAGTCTCTTCCTCCCTATCTGGAGGAGACAGAGTGAGGCTACTCTCAGTTGCTGGAGAAGGGCGAAATCCATTCACCACCATCATTCTGGCTACTTGCCTAGGAAAACAAGTAGATAGTTGAGGTAGTATCCCAAAGCAACAAAATAATCCATGGCACAAAAGAACCCAACACTTATGAGGGTCATAAGGAATATTAATAATTTTTCCCAACAATTTCCTTTATTCTGCAAAGAGAGCCAAGCATTTAGGCTAAGAGCAGAATCATCAGCCATCACCTTTACCTGAGGATGCAGATCTTGCAAGGCTAAAGTAATGCTGCCTTAATTATCAGGGATATATACACAACATCAGTTTTAATAATGGCACAGGCCCCTGACTGGGCAGCTATTAAGACGTCAAATGCCATATGATTCTGGAGCATTGCTTTTCTCATTAAGGCTACCTCAATACTTAATAGGATTAATCCAACATGGGGATACCACATTGTCATTTAAATTTCTTTGAGTAAAACTGAAAGGCTTCTATGTGCCACGTTACATCTTCCAGCCATATCTGGAGTACAAAGATGGAAGCTAAATGGTCATACCAGTAAAGAACAATTTGTGACCATCTTTCATGAAAATCTGGGAGGTTAGTAGACTCACCTGTGGTCTTAATCCAACATCTATGATCCATGGATATCCTAGGGTACATCTAACCAACCACCAAAGGGGAAGCCAAGGCCCATAGATTAGTTCCACACAATCACTGAGTTCCACTTGATGCTACCATCTTATTCTCAACCTCTATATCCAAATGGTAGCATACTAATCACTTTCTTGTAGTATTATATTTTACCTTCTGTTGGGATATCTGGGCCTTTCATGAAGATACTCAGAACCCAGGAAACCCCAAGAAATTAAGAACTCTGATAGTATTTTTGTCAGCATCTTGTTTTGTGGGGCTGCAGTTAAGACCATTCACATATTTGAACAGAGCTCCATTTTCTGAAGTTTGAGAACTTAATTCCCCTTTGCTAGGGCATTTCTAAACAGGTGCAAGCTGTCTATAATTCCTTGAAGCAGCACCTTCTAAGTACATTGACCAATTTCTATTGTGCCAGGGTCAGTCCATTCAAAGGTAAACTGTTATTGTGACTCAGGGTGTAATGGGATGCAAAGACAGCATTCTTGAGATTAAGGACAGTGTACTATGCAGATCAACTCAGTATGTAAGTCAAAATAGTGTATAGGTTTAGGATTATGGGATTAAGGGGGAATTAAAGCCTTATTAATTGCCTGCAAATCTTGGACCAGTCGACATTCCCCGCAAGGTTTAGCACTGAGAGAATCGGAGTATGACATGCTCTGGGATACCATGCTTAAAATACAGATAAGGGGTTGGAACCCTTGGCAGGCCTCAGGCTGCTGGAGGACTATTGTTTATGGAGCTATGTTTTTGGGTCTTTTAGAAAAATTAAGATTGTCTGGGCATTTATTGCCTTTCCTGATATCTGAATGTCCCAAACTTGAGGAATTATTTTAGTCAAAGCATCCACAGGCAGAACTCCAATCTCTTTCTAGATATTATCAATGCCCCAATGAAGGGGGAGGTGAATGTTTAGGTGCTACATGAAGAGTTACATACAGAGAGCCTAAGAATTTCTAACCTAACAGGGGAGTGGGGCTTTCTGGGAAAACCAGGAAGGCTTGAGTCATAATTAGTTCTCCAAATCTGCAAGTCAGAGATACTACAAATCTTTTAACTTTAGAGATTCTGTCAATACCAATCACAAAAAAGGTTTGATTATAAAGTAGTGTAAGAGGTTCAAGTAAGGCAAAATATGAAATCCCCATATCCCATATTTTTTACCTGCCATGTCAAGAGTCACCTGAGACTCTTCCTGAGTGAAGTCCAGCTGGCCAATGGGGACAATATGAAACCTTGGATACATTCAGTCCTCAAGGGCACTCATCATAGGAGAGGATGTCCATCCCAGCTTCCCTTTGGAGGCAAGGGCAGTCTCACTCCCATTGTTTTTCCCCCATTACATAGGGGACAAAACCAGGTTGAGGTGGTCACTGTTTAGGACAATTTTTCCTCCAGTGTCCAGATTCTCCATACCTGAAACATCTGTCAGGTCTCCAGTTTTTCCCCTTTGGGCTACATCTGCCTCTAGGGTCACCTTGAGATTGCAAGGTGCTTCTCATACCAAATGAAATTAGTTGGGCTTGTTCTCTAGCCTGTTGCCATCTCCTCTGGGACCTCCTAAACTTTTCCTTTCTTTCTCTGTGGAATGCCAGAGGGGCCAAATCTTTCAGCTCCTTCAAGGACAAGAACTGGTTCAAGGCCTTCTTTTGAATCTCTTTTTTGATGTATGGGGTTGACTGGTAGGTGAAAAATATCCCTAATACCACTTGCCCATCCACAGAGTCAGGATCAACAGAAGAGTATTTCTGGAAGGCCTCAGTTAGCTGATTTAAAAACAATAAAGGATTTTCATCTTTTTCCTGTTTTACCTTCCAAAATTATCACATTTTTCCTTTTCCTTATACTTTTTCATCCTTCGATAAGACAAGTTATCATGTGGTTACGCCTAACAAGGCTGATGTGTTCTGGTTGATGATTCCAGTTAGGGTCCTCACGGGGTATGGCTATATCCCCTAGTGGTTGGTTAAAGTCAGGCTACCTGCTTGTGCCCGAGCTTCATACAAAATACTATCCTTTTCTTCAAGAGTGCAGCAGGTGGACAACACTACATGTAGGTCAGACCAACTGAGATTAAAGGTCAGAGTCAGGGCCTGAAATTCATCTATAAATTGGTTTGGATCCTCTGAAAAATTTCCTAACTTCTGTTTGCATTGAGCCAAGTTTGACAGAACAAAATGATCATATATTCCCATGATTTCCCCTTCTCCATTTGAGACTTCCTCAAGTGGATGAAGACTGGAGAGCTGGGGGTCCCCATGAAGGGATACGGTTCTCAGCACTCCCCTGTAGGGCCGCTCCCCTTGGATAGAGGGGGGTTTGAGAGTTGATGAGAAGGTGGGCTGATAGGTAGACCAGATGGGACAGATTAGGCTGAGAAACCCATGGGATTACAGTCTGGGGGGAGTGGCAGGCTTTCAATGGGGAGGGCCCACATGGCATTCTAAGGCCACCACTCAAAAGTGCATCCTCTAGGGGAGCACTTTCTTCCTGGACTTTAGTTAAAGGAAAATGGTCATTGTGTATTTTACAGAGACCCTTAAGTTTTGGGTCCTGGTATAAGACCATAAAGACCTGGACATAAGGTACTTCTGTCCATTTCTCCTCTTGTTTGCAAAAGAGATCCGGCTGCAAGATAGTGTTCAATTTTAAGGTCCCATTTTCTGGCCAAATCTCCCTACTTTTCAATTTGTATTGAGGCCATGCCATGTTGCAAAGAAAAGTTAGTCTGCTTTTATTTAGACTGTCAGCCTTAAAAGCATCCCAATTATTTAAGATGCAGCCCAAAGGAGAATTGGCGGGCACAGATGTGGTATTATCCATTTGGAGAGGTGACATTATCTTGTTTAGTGATGAATGTGCCTCTCTGTTCTGGAAAAAGAAAAGAGAAATTGAAATAAACAAAGTCCTGTCCATAGGTATGACCTTATGTCATTTTAACTGGTGTCTTACAACAGAAAAGTTAGGCATCCTTGCCTCCAACTGACACCTGTGCTTCTAATTATCCCTGGAGCCCCGGGATTCTTCAAGCCTGCCTGAGGTCCTATATGAGAAGAGACAGAAAGGACTCCAGAGGCCAGGTATGGGTCTGCATGCCTATAATCTCAGTGGTTTAGGAGGCTGAGGCAAGAGGGTCACCAGTTCAAAGCAACTTAGGGACACCCTGTCTCAAACAATATATAAAATGGGCTGTGAATGTAGCTCAGTAGCTGAGCACCACTGGGATTAATCCTGTACCAAAAAAAAAAAAAGGTCTACAGAGGTCTGAGGATGTCTTTAATGATGAAAAATGGTCCACTCTCCCTTTATTGCCCCCAATGAGCCCTATCAAGGATAAGGCTTAAAATGACCATAGGATCCTTGTGAGCAATTTCAAATCTCATAATCCACATCTCTCCCATAAGCCCAGAGCATATGAATAGCATATACATTATGATCCAAAAACAAGTGATTCTGGGGTCTGCACTTATACCAAAGGGGGAACAAAACATCTGGACTGCTGGTACAAAGGAGTTTGGCAGTTGGAAAGATTATGAAAAAGAATCAAAGAAGGCCTTAAAGGAGGGTCACTCAAATCCCAGATCACACAGAGGATAATTAGTACTAGATGAACACAGCAAGCAGCAGTGATGGAGGCACTGTAAAAGGGCAGCAGAGCACCAAAAAGGAAATTTACCAGTGCCTGGAAACAATGCAGGAATCAAGATTTCCACAGCAAAGGGGAAAAAAAGAAGAAATACAAAGAGCAAGGCTGGAAGGGAGATTGCCTGCCATCCTCTGCACTATGTAAGGTTCTACAACAATTACTGTATTGATTTTGGAGGTTGCTTCTGAGGCTGTCATGCCAAGGCCAATTTCCTCTGCTTGCCTCAGGTGTGACCTACTTGTTTTATGAAATGTGAGGGTGCTGAAGACACTGAGTGATCAGCCCTCATGAGTGTCTCCCCATGTGAGTTTGTTAAGTTCCATCTGACCCAGTGCCTTTTATCTTTGACATCTTTATGACCTGACACTCATGTTTCCCTAAACCCAGAGGGAAGGAATCTGAAGACATTTCAGAGAAGAATGTGTGTGTGTGTGAGAGAGAGAGAAGGGGGGGGGGGGGGGCAATGAACTGGCACGGTACTTCCTAAACCCAAAGATTGGTGTTAGGAGTCACCTGTGTGGTCCTTGGACCTGCTTAATATAACAAACTAGTTCTGAAGAGGAGAGCCACAATCAGACAGACAAGTTGAGATTAAGTTCTGTGGCTCATGAAAATGGAATAGAATGGAAAAAATATCAGTTGAACTTTTTTAAGAGTGCAAGAAAAGCATGTCAGGTCACTCACTAGGGGTCAGGGGTCGGTTGTTGTCATTTTACCTCCTAGCTGGCTCACCAGAACAATGTTTACTGCACAGAGGTCCAAGAGACTCCAGTAGTGAAGGAGACCTCTACCTTAATCTTGCAGATTATACAACAATGTCACAGAAAATAATTTAAGGATGCATTTGGTGAGTAACAAAACAAAAGACTTATTAAAAAGGGAAAGTACACACACAGGAATGGGAGTGCAGGAGATTGCAGAGAGCCTGAGGAAAGTCTCCCTGCTTATAAGACAACATTACTATCATATACTGAGCCATCATTACATATCTGTGAGTATAAGGGAATGTGGGAAGTACAAGTAGACTCATATCTCTTCCCATCTGGGTTTTACTATTACAATGGGAGATGCGGTTGGGGAAGAGGGTCTGGTCACATCTTGGTCAAAGTTCCTGATGTGCATGCTACAAGGAGTTGTGTGTTCCTCCGGCTGCCTTGGAGCTATCCTGCCATGGTGTCTTAGCTGTTGTTTTATTGGCTAATCAGTAAGTGGTGGTGAGGGCTTAAGGTGACAGAATGCAGGTAGGTTTGCTCATGAGTTGCTTGTTCTGTAACATGTCAATGGTTTCAGAGGCATTCCTTTGTTGAGACTCAGTACTCTCTGTACCCCTCAGTTTACCTATCTCACTTCCATCTGAATAGTAAACATTTAATTTAATAAGCAAAATGATCGTGTGTTTTAAAAGCTCACAACCAGACAATATACCAGTTATAAGTTCTTCTTATAAAAAAAATAAAAATTATTGTGGTACATCTTTGCACATGTTATTTCTAGCACATTGTTGAATATATTGGGGGAAAAATTTATTGATAAATTTTTGTTATTTAAAAGACCAAATCACTATGGAGTGAGATTTCTGCTGAAGATTCTTCAGCAGAAATGGTGAAGTAGCTCAGAAAGACAGTACCAAGGATGTGACTAAATGGGTACAATTCTGGGAAGAGAGGAACAAACACTAGACTAACATGAGGATTTATGTTAGGCCTGGTCTTCTCACTAATACAAAAGATTTGCAAAAAGGGAACTTGGGAACATCTCCAAACACTGATTACATCCAACTTCGTCAGTTGATAGTGACAAATTCAAAAGATTTCAGGGGATGAGGGTAGGAAGCTGAGCCCAACAAAAGCAGAGATGTGACAATAAGGGAAAATGAGGCAAAACACATTTAGATGCAGACTCCATGCTTGCATTACAACTGATACAAGAACGCCTGGTGGCTGCTGGGAGGTATTTCCTGAAAATGATCATGTATACTCCTATAAAAAATCAATCAAACCCTTGGCACAGACAGGAAAGCTAGTAGAAGATATAGTCTATGCTTGTTTCAACTATGGTACATTATCCAGTATAGTTTGTAATGTGCATACCTCATCTAGGAGATAAGGCTGAGGTGCAGAAAGGACAAGATGCTGAGATCCAAATCAGAGCTTGGCAAACTATGGCCCACAGGCCAAATCCAGCTGGCCCTTGATTTCACTAATAAAATTTTATTGGAACCTAGCCATACTAATCACTTATGTATTGTCTATAGCTGTTTCTGCCCTCCAACAACACAGCCCTGTGCTGTAACACAGACTGTCTATGCCAGGAGCCTAAAACATTTATTATATATCCTTTACAGAAAAAGTTTGCTGACCCTAGATCTAAATCAAAAATGACAAGACCACAAATGACTTAAATTTTGGAAATTAAGAAACAGAAAACCGGAATGGAGAAGAATAAACTTATGAGATATATTACTCTAAAAGGTATCAAAGGCTTGCACTTTCTAGGCTAAGTTTATATCAATTCATGAATTACATCTAAGTTTCTAAGGAAGATAGACATGTGGGAGAAAGAAATACGCTTTATTTTTTGAGGTAGAAAAATAAGAAACAAACACTTTCAGAGCATCCTATTATTTTACTCTTTGTCCCCTGGATACTGTCAGAGATTAACTATGGAACTGGAAGAAGCATGTGTCTGACCTAGGATGTCCTTAGATCTTACAGCAACTGACTTCTGCCCAGTGCTCTTCTTCAAAGGAAGCAAAAGATGCACCTTCTTTGACAACTGCTGAATGTGGCCCCAAATAAACACTGACGCACTTTCAATTTTCAGTCCTTTTCTAAAAATCAAAGAAAGCTCAACAAAAGCAGCTTTTTAAACTGCTAACCCCACCTCCAAATAGGACTTGATAGGAGAAAATTCCTGAGCACGCTGAGTACCTTGAAGGCCAAGCAATGAATGCAGGGGGAAGGAAAGCTGTTTTGTATCTTGTGTTCTACTGCACATGCTCAAAGCTTCAAGTCCTCTGCTGGCTGGAGAATGAGCTCATCCACAGCAGTGCATGTGTTTATTCCCCTGCCTCAGAGCAACACTTACTCATCTGAGATCTGGTCTAGACTAAGGGATGCTACAGTTCAGGCATGGGTTATGATTGGCTTTTCTAGTCTATGGATCTAGGGAATAAACACAAGCTATAGAGGAGCTAGGGAGAGCTGTTTGAGGATGTTTGGAAAAGGAGGATTCTCAATAACAGATGGCAACTACAACTAATTTTGTTAATCATTTCAGATTCAGAATAGAAACATGGTCATCCTTATTCATCTTTGAGTTACAAAACTCATGCTCGATGTGCCTCTGGGCTATTTATAATTAGATTTGGCAAAATGAGTTTTAGTTGTATGGTTCTGGGTCATTAATGAAAGTAATTAAATGGCTTAGCCTACTCAAGAAGGCTTCATTTTTATTATATATCTATAATATTTTTATAGAGGTGCTTTCTAAAATGAACTTGGTTTTCACTTTGGGTAAAATCTACAATAATTAAAAATACTCATGGAGAACCCAGAATAATATACATTCCATATTGCACCACTCCATGAAAGATGGATTTTGTATGCTTTAATATATACTAGAACAAATTAAACTCAAAAATATCTTGGTCCCAGTTTCTTACCTTTGATGGAGGGTTTGGCATTGGAGCTGAAGGTTCTGGAAGCCTGAGGAAGTTAAGAAAGATCACAGCCATGAGTTTTCATTGAAAGGCAAATAGAAACTGGGCAACTTAAGACTTAAGAGAGTCCTGCTTTTCATATAGCTTTGCCACTATAGATCCTCCTGTTCAATCCCCTCAAAGTAAAAAATGGAATCTCTTTAAATTAATGCATCTTCATTTTGCTACTTAATCCCTCATATTAAAACTGTTTAAACAGAAAAACACTAAACCCATTTGTTGAAACACAGTGGGTTTTTGTTGGCCTCCACAAATTAGAGTTTTGGCACTGGAGTGTTTTTTCTTCATAAATTATGATGCTACCATTTATTTAAAAGTGAATAGCATTATAACTGTTGACAAAAGCCACACAAACTTTTCTCCCTTTAAAAAGAAGTTTAACTGGCATGCTCTGTCTTCCAAAGTCTTTAAATCAAACTTGAAATTTTAGGGAAAGAAAAAAAAAACTAAACAAATAATGGAATACAAAGATATAGTCTCTAATAAAACAATCAGCTAAGAAATCCAAGGGAATATTAAACAGAAGGATGGTTATCAATTTAAAACAAGCTTTCAATATGCTTTAACTAGTATAAGGACCAATTTCCACTGACTGTTTTTAAAGCAGGATCTGTGGAATTTGCTGAAAACAACAAACAACTCTATTATTATCTATTATGGATTTTTTTTAAAAAAATAACCATATTCTTCCCTATCATGGATTATTAAAGAAGCAAAAGGATTTAATAAGGATTGGGAAAAGCTATTAAATCATCATAAACATAAGCTCTTAATAATGGCTAAAATCTTGAAAATAAGCACATACTTTTCAACAAAAGTATGGTCTTTATATTATATTAAAGATCTTTAGGGGTTGTGGCTCAGCGGTAGAGCGCTCCCCTAGCAGTGCAAGGCCCTGGGTTCAATCCTTAGCACCACATAAAAATAAATAAAATAAAGGTATTGTGTCCAACCAACTACAACTAAAAAATAAATATTAAAAAAAAAGATCTTTAAAAAGGAAGGAATGAAAATCAAATCATTCTTAAAACTGTTCTTCCATCTCTAAAGGACAGAGATTACTTTCCACGTGACTTTCAATTTGAAGTACTCAGCATTATAAAGGTAGTTAGTGAACATCTAATGGTAGTGAAACGGTATAAAACCTTTAATACAATTTTCAAAAATATTTTACATGCCATCCACCCTTCCTTTCCTATCTCTTTCTCTTTAAATGATCACAAAAATCAAGTTAGTTAAGTCTCACTGGGGATAAAACTTTAAACACATTTGTCCTCTAATAAAAAAAAAAAAAAAAAAAAAAAATTCCAATCCCTAAACTCGCTAGTTGCTGTAATCAGTTTCTACCAAATCAGTTTATTCCATTCAATGTCTATTAAAAATCCTCTCCAGGGTTGGGGTTGGGGTTGTGGCTCAGTGGTAGAGTGCGTGCCTAGCATGTGTGAGGCACTGGGTTCAATTCTCAGCACCATGTATCAATAAATAAAATAAAGGTCCATTGACAATTAAAAAAATATTTACAAAAAAATCCTCCCCAATCCATACAGTATAAGACAAAGCTCAAGAATAATCTCTTATCACACAGTGATATCATATGCCACAGAGAAACCTTTTGCTGGGGAAACCAAGAAGCACAAAGGTCCTTGTTCATTAGGACTACACCAACACTTACTTTAGATATTTGGATAAATCATCACTTAATTCTTTAGGGATATAATCAGATATCAGACCATGGGCATAACGAATGTAATCCTCTGAAATAAATGAAAGAGAGTGAAATAAAACAATTAGGAATAATTACAGTGATTTTAGAGTCAAATTGACCAGAGTTCAAATTCTTGGTCTATATGGATTTAGGAAACTCATTAGGCTCTAGCCTCGGATTCCTTGTTGGTAAATGGCGATACTAATATGATGTGTCAGAGCAGAGATGTGATGATGATATATGATATAGCATGATACCAAAGATGTGATGATATAACATAGTAGACATGTACTAAATTAAGGACAGGAAAAGCAAAAATTCAGGGTTGCTTTGTTAGTTGAAGCCTTTGAATACAAATAAAACTTAAAAATCAGATGTGATAATATTAAATATTAATGTCTCTTTTTTCTAAGGCTAATCTTTTCTAAATCTGCTCCAAATAACAAATATAATCATTGAATAGTAGTGATAATATTCATTTAAGATAAATAAAATAACATGATTTATCTCTATTAGGTATTTGCTTCATAAGAACACTACATATATTTTGAACACTATATATACTTCCAAATAAAATGCCTTTTAAAACCTGAAACACAACTCACACAGCAGAATATAATATTAGTTCAGGGTATCTGAAGTCATAGTACTAAAATGCAGCTCTGCCATTGATTAAAAACAGCCAATAAAATCTGTTTCCAAATGCCGCTCTTTAACTCAGTCCTGTGAGCAGATTATGTGGGGCAATCAAACTTAATCAGGAGATGGAATGACCACAGGGGGAGATGAATTATCAAAAAGCAAAGCCCGGGTCTGCTGCAGAGATGTTTACTTGCTTCCTTGCTTTCCTTCTTTTCTGTCTTCAAAATAAGGCAACAATATACCCCAGTATTACTTAGTAAATGACTGCAGTCTGGTGGTTACCTGATCTTGAAAATCTTTAGTAGAAATTTTCATGGCTGATGTAGAACACAAAGTTATCATTGGACCCTTCTTAAAATGTGCTCAGGGTTCTGGGCTAGTAATTTATCCAGTTAGTCATGAAGAGACAAAGAAAACTATTTTAAGAAAGTCAGTTTACAGGTCATTCATTCTCTGCTTTTGGTACCATACCCCAAGCTAAAGATCTAAAAGTATGTAAAGCTTACTTTATGGCTGGAACACTAACCAGCAATACAGCCATGCCCAGAAACTTAGATGTAGAGTCTTGGTGAAAACCCTGGACTCGGAGCATAAGACCTTATTTATCAACTAGAATAAACCATCCATCTCTCTGAGACTATAGTTATCAATTTTTAAAGTAAGAAGACCTGTCTATAAAACTCTCTAACATCCCTTCTTCTGCAAAAAAGAAGAAGAAGGAGGAGGAGGAGGAGGAGGAGGAGGAAAAAAGAAAAAGAAAAAAAGAAAAATAAATAAACCACATATATATGGTTTCATTGGTCAACTCTCCATCCATCTCCCCTTGTGATTCACTACTTCCTCCTCTTCTGTTAAGGCCAATTAAAGACACTGACAGTTCATGAATTTGGTATGGCAAGCATGCTGTTCACCACCCCCCAAATGGCAGTGGCCAGCTATGTCAATAAGTAATGAGTTGTAAAACAGACTTCTGCACATCAAAGACCGTCTGAATAATCCATCACAAAAAAGGTCCCTATTCCTCATATTAATTTTTTTTAATGGCTAAAGTCAGGTATTGAAAATTGTATAGCCAGAACAGGGGAACACAGAACCTTGAAGCTGAAGGTCAGAATAATTTCTGTCTCACCCTTTCAGAATGCTAATTGCACTATATAATTGTTTTTATTTTTAAACAATGCACACATACACTATATTGGAAAAAGCAAAAGAATGTAGTACCTTAATAACCTAAGAAAATTGCTAAGTGAGTCAATTTTCATCTAAAATCAAAACATTTAAAGCTACCTTAGGAATTAAGCTTTATGGCAGTAAGATGCAAAAAGAAGCAGCCCATTAGAAACCCTGAACCAGAGGAAAGGCACAAGAAAAGGGCAAAAAGCATGGGCTTGAGAGTGAGAGAAGCTCCACGAGTAGCTCGGTTTTGCCATTTGCTGGTGGGTAACTGTGGACTGAACCTTGATTCTCATGGGACTTCCTGGGGTGATCAGGAGACAATGTTTGTATCCTGGCAACCTAGCCAAGGGTCTGGCACATAACATACCCTCAAGAAATGACAGCCAGGCTTCTCAGGGTTGCTATTACTGTTGGTGCAAAATAATTATTTGCTGAATGAATGATTCAAGTGCCATTCAGTGAGAGAACTGATCTGTTAGAAACAGCCTTTGATTCTGAAATAGGATGTACAATTGCCCTAATCTATGAAAAACATTGGCAAGAATGATGCTTCAGTGACATTAAAGATTTTTAAATTTTCAGATACGCATTTGCACATAAGCAACTTACTCCAGACAAAAATTATTTCTGATAAAGTGGTTTACTTACCTTCCTTGTCACTCAAAACCTGGTTACCAGAGAAAAATGCAGATGACTGCACCCGAGCACTGACAGTGACATTATTGGTTTTTAATGCTGCCACAGTTTGTTTAACCTAGGAAGCAAACATAGGGCAGAAATCGGAGGAATCTTCAACATAACTTTAGAAATGCATGACTTTCCAGATGACCCTCGTTCCACTTAAGATCCAGGAAGAAGTATTTGAGAACCGAGCAATATCTTCACCAAATATTACATGCTTGGAGAGAGACTGAGGGCAGACACATTTCTGGATGACCTCAGTACGTGGACTTCCTGAGCCTACGCAATATGAGAAGCAACATAAGGTGGTGACTGAAGCACTGACTCTGGAAACAGGCTGCTTTGGTTTGCTCTGTGACCAATCACTCAGCCTCTCTGTGCTTCTATCTGTGTATTAGGCATAAAGAGTATCCACCCCATTGGACTGCTGTGAGACAATGAGTTAATGCATGTAGAACCCTTAGAACAGAACCTGGTACAAAGCTTCTATGTTAGTAATTTCTAAACAGAACAAAAAATATAAAATTTCCCAATAAGCATAAACTTCACTTTATGGTCATATCATTATCACTTGCTAAAAGCAAAAATGAAATGCCAAGATTTTGCTCAGCATTTTCACTTATATATAATATGCTATGACATAGCACATGACAAGTGGAACATGATGGCACTTACTAAATTTTTGTTACTTTGTACAATAGGAGCCTGACTAATTCTACAGTGTTCATTTGCATGTTTCGACTCCAGTTTGCTCAGTGATATAGTGTGACAAACGAGCATGGCCCTCACATGTAAGATCCAAGGGAACCTTAGGAAACAGAATTATAACTACTGGTCCGCACTGATCTTGTAAAAACTAAGATTCTTAATCCATGTGAAAGTACATGATACTTTCCTTAGACCAGTGGCAATTTATTTTTTTTTAACTACAACCCACAGTAAGAAATATACAGCAATTTGACATCAAACACATATACAAGAATACATTTCATAGAGTCATCCTTAACATTTACTTGTACTCTGGGCTATATATATGAACCCATTCTGTCTTGTCCTAATTCATTCTGTCCTGCTCCATTCCAAGAGAAATACTGGTTGTGATGTTCCTAAATCAATTTTAAAAATACTGCCCTGGACCTTAGATTAGGTCAAAATCACTAAGACATACGGTTTGCCATGATCCTTCTTCAGCATTTGGACACTTAGAGTGGACTAACTTTCTCTAAGCTTGAACAGCTTTCTCCTGCCATCTCTTGCCTGGCTATGTGAGCAACACCACCTTGGAGATACCTGTGCAGCTAACAGCAGTGAAGAGGCCTGCACTGTCTGGCTTGGAAGATTCAAATCTGTACTAATCAACAGCCAGAAACTCTTTCATTTAGGACCAGAAGAAATGAGGATTCAGGTCAAATAAAAATACCAAGTTTCTTTTCAGTCTTGGATATCTTTATACAGTTTTCCCATTTTCACTACATATATAGGATGGTCTTTGGATATAGAGTTTTTTTTTGTTTTTTGTTTTATCACAAGACACTAGAGAGGTACTATACCTTTTTTTCCAGCCACTTCAATGTCTTCTCTTTGCTATACTTGTAATATTTCTTGTTGCCTATTTCTGGATTAATGGGGGAAAAAAACCCTTAGTACAGTGAGTTAAAAAACAAAACAAACAAACAAACAAAAAAGCTCAAGGTAACATCACATACAATAATTTAAAATTTTTCATAATACATTGTTGAAAAGCCCAACCTATAAACCGGAGAACATACTTGAGACTTTTTTTTAAAAACTCCCAGAGTTTAGGTACCTCAGAAGTGATGTAATCACAGAATGAGTATGAATTTTTAAAAACCCTCAAGTTATACAAACAACACTGTAAAAAAGGTAATTTTTAAAACGCAGCAATCTAACATGCTAAATAATCTCAATTTTTCTGAATTAATTTTAAGTTCACCTCAATGTTTTCAAAGAAAGACTTTCCTTTCTAAAATAAAAAACCTGCGGGGGGTGGGAGGGATAAAAACACTAAAATCAGGCAGATGCCTGTGAAGGTCCATGTTCAGGGGCAAAAGAAACAAAAACATCTTAACTACTCAGTGCTGCCCTGGTGGAATTGGTGCAGCAACGGATATATGCTTCTTTTAAAGTATTACTAACATAGTCATAGATATTTCAGGGGAATTGAGATTTATGGTAGGCTCAACTTGGCCCTTTATGGATATAAAAGTTCTGACTGTTAGAAATTATATTTCTCCTCACAATCCACCTAGCTTCATACGCTACGTCATTAAACCAGGATTTCCTCCATAACACGTTTAGTCCTTGGGATTTCTTCTTCCTGTGTGGTTAGCAAGGGCAGCTCTCCCACTCCAGCCTCCTTTATGACCATATAGGAGTCATCTTTATGGCTACTGGAAACTTTAAGGCCAGTGCAGACCAACCATCTGTGAGCTATACAGCATGATACTTCCCCTTCCTCCCCTCCATATCACGGGAAATGGAAACTGCTTATTCAGGGATAGTTTTCTGCAATCCAAATGGTTTGAATGGAAGAAAGGCTGGAGGACCCCTGCCCTAGTCTCTGTGCATTTCCTCCCCTAGTCTCTGTGCATTTCCTCCCCATTTCTGCCTGTAGTGGTCAAAATGAAGATGGAGTGGGAGCTAAACCTTTGCACCTGTCTCCTGAGTATGTGTCACTGAAGGAGGGACAGTTGCATATGATATTCCATCAGAAGTAGGAGGATTTCTGCTCTCCTGAAGCCAGGATAGCCTAGAAAAACAGCCCGCTACAGAAGCAAGACTGGATTCAGTTTCCCTGGAGACAATATCTCGATCAGGACATCAGGGGAAATTTAACAGGACATAGCTCACCCAATAAGTGTACACTGTTGAATGGCCTTTAGAAGTTCCATTCATCACCTGCATCAAGACTCACTAACAAAATTCAGTGCTCAAGTCTGTCCTAAGAAATCCCACCTGTCTCTGCTCTTTACCTCTCTTGTTCCTACCTCCAAAATGCTACAAGAACTACAACTTACATAGTTTTTGTTCTTGGCTCACACTCCCTGAATCACCTAGGCAGACCTCTCCTGTCCCTCTTGGAAATGGTCTCTCAGAAGAAGTCAAAAATACAGACTAAGCCATACATACTTCCAGGGCTCACACAAACACCAGTATGTGTTGTTACCTTGAGAAGCCACTTCATTCTCAAAACCTGTTTTCTCAAGGTGTAAAGCAAGGGTTATTTTGAGCGTGCAATGGAATAGTCCCTACAAACCCTAAGGCACAATGCCTGCCGAATAGAAAATAGTTGATATCAGCTAAGCAAAAATGATGACAGTTGATATTTGTCAATTATGTGTCAGAAAACTAACATTTATTCAGGCTCTTCACATACATTTTCTCATTGATGGGCAGAATGGATTTCAAGTGAAAAGCTTTATTTGTACTCATCACAGAAAACCAGGTTTGAGTGACCTAAAGTAAATTGTCCAAAGTCACTAGCAATTAAGAAGCGGCACTGCATTCCCATCCAAGCTGACCTTTCAGCTATGGATCTGATGCTCATTTTACCAAGGACAATGAGATCTACATGCTCCCCTAGGAACTTCTGTCCTCCCTATTCTCTGTGGGAAAGACCTCTCCAGAAGGGTAGCCACAAAACTGCTTTCCTTTGGTTTTCTCTGATGATTTCTCTAAATCTTTTTCCAGCTCTCCTTTGCCCTTCTCCAAGGTCAACTGCACCGTTCTCCTGGAGAGGCTTTATATCCTAGTTCAACAAGACTTTAAACAAGCTCAGCTAGCAAATAGCAAACATAAAGCCCTGAGCCAAGGCTCAACATGTCTGAAGCTAAACTGGTCATCTTCCCAAACTAGCCTCCTGGCTGCCCAGGCTGCCTTGCCTCCCACACTACAGCACCTGATCCCAAGGCGACGGGAAGTATGGAGAATGAAGGAGTCAACCTTATCTTGACATGGGGGAGGGAAAAAAAAATTACTGAGTCAAAAATCAGGAGGCCTGGCTTCTAGTGCTGGATTAGTAAGTACATTTAAAAAAAAAAAAATCAACTTTATTTATATAATGAACATATCCACTTTAAGTGTACAATGGGACGCGTGTTGAGAAATAAATGCAGTCATGTACTCATCATGTCCATAAGTTCCCTTGAACCTTTCTGTAATCAATTCTCCCAGCCCTCCCCAGACCACCGGGAACCACTGAGCTATCTTTATAGACTGGTTCTTACTTTATTCTGAAACTTCTTAGAAATGGAATCATATAGTGTGTACTTTTTTGTGTTCATCTTCTTTTGCTCAACAAAATTTCTGTGAGATTCATCCGTTTTATTGTTATTTTAGTGTATTCTGGATTGTTTTAAAAAAAGAAAAGTTAATTGTACAAAGCCACAGGCAAGTCCTTTAGAGGGATTCCAAAAGGACTGCTATCACAGGGGATTGGCAATCTGTGTTATTGTGCCTGAAGAAGTTCCAGTGGGCCCAAATGTAGAGGTGGCAGAAGTGATACTGATGATCATGACCCTAAGTAAGCCTATGCTAGTGTGTGTTTGCATCTTAATTTTTAACACAATTAAAAAAGAAGAAGAAGAGAACAAGAACAACAACTAAAGAAAGCTCACAGAACAAGGATGCAAAGAAAGATCCTTTTTTTTTTTTTTTGAGGCTATATGATAGGTTTGTATTTTAAGCTATTATAAGTAAAAAGTTAAAAAAATTAAGAAGTTTATAAAGTAGTTACAGTAAGCTAAGACTAATATATTATTGAAAAAATAAAATGATTTAAAAATAAATTTAGGGTAGCCTAAGTGCACAGTATCAGTAAAGTCTCAACAATGTACAGGGACGTCCTAGGTTTTCACATTCAGTCACCATTCACTGATTCACTGACTCACCCGGAGCACCCTCCAGGCCTGCAATTTCCATGCAGAGTTAGTGCCCGGTAGAGGTGTAACAGTTTTTAAAAATTTATACTATATTTTTACTGTACTTGATTTATATTTCTACATACCAATACTTACCATCCTGTTACTACTGCTTACAGCAGTCACTACAGTAACATGGTGTACAGATTTGTAGCCCAGGATCAACAGGGTATACCAATAGCCCAAGTGTACAGTAGGCTACACCACCTGTTTGTGGAAGCGCGCTCTACGATGTTCATGCAAAAATGAAATCAGCTAACGGCACATTTCTCAGAACATACCCCCCAGTGATGATCACTATGTCCCAGAATACTACACAGATCCAGTGTATAAACTACAGCTTAATTTTGAAATTTGTAAATTTCTAAAAACAAGGAGATCTCAGATATTCATGAAGACCACAGGCGGCCCATAATTATGAAAAATAGCATAGCATGTTCATCCATGTCCTAAACTTAATATTTGTGAGAGTTAGAAAGTTGGACAGTATGTGCACACACTGGATGGGTTTTTTCCCTTATGTGTCTGGTACTTATAAAACTGGCCTCAAACATCTGGAAATACTGGGTTTACAAAATAAAGATGGAATAAAAATGAGTCTACAATTAAATAACATGTTCAGCAATTGGGTAATCAGTTCACAAACCTGAATTTCCCTGATGTATTGTTGAATAAACTGCCTAGAGCAGATTTTCACTTCTGCTTTCTCAATGTTTTCCATAACTGAGAAACTCAGCCCTCCTCTTCTCCCCTGTCTTCTGGGGATAGAAACTTGGCAACTGCACTTGGGGAATTTTAATCAGGTAAGTTTTCCTGGCTCTTCCCATTAATTGCATCAGACAGTGCAATGCAGCTCTGGCTTGCAACATGAAGCAGAGTGTTACGTTCAAGGCAAAGTCCATGACCCCGTATTAGTCCTCTCCCGTGTCATCTCTCCACTGAATGTGAGCTTCTTTGGCAAGAAACGTGCTCTGGGCCCTAGAGCGAGCAAGTAGAGCCTTTCCATTACTAATGAAGCAGGCAAGGCTAAGGTCACGGCCTTCATCGTTCAGAGCACCAGCAGCAGTGGCTGGGCTTATTTATCAGGGGGAACCAAACTTTAAGCAGCCAGTCTTCAATACAATCACTATGATGACCTGGAGGACAGTGCGTGAAAATAAGAAAGATCACTGCAGGGGTGAGGACTGTCTGCTCCTTAAGCTATTCCATTTCTGTCTCCTTTCTTATCTTTTTGCCATACAAAGCAAAATCATTAAGAGGGGATACAAAGATTTTAAAAGAAAAAATGTGTTTTCTGTTTTTACAAGAGACACTCTCTAAAGACTCTAACAGAGTATCCTGGAAGTACTTCATAGCTCTAAGAAAGAACAGCAAGTGTCACTATCAGTTCTTTAATTTATTAATACATAAGTTTATCTTTAATCCTGGTTCTGCTACTTCATGTTCTGTGATGTCATACAAGTTACTTAACTCTCTAACACTTAGTTTCCTCATTTTTAAAAATGCAGATTATAATAACAATGAAAGGGCCTTACTGCGATGATTAAGTAATATATGAAAAACCATAAGCACCACCTCCTGCTGTAGTGCAGATCCTCTACCCTTCTCTCTGTGGACAGCCTATAACAACCAGTGGTAAACCTCAGAATGCTGGGCTTTCCCCTGCTGATCTTCATGGAAAAAGACATTCATCTGAGTACACTGTCCTGTACACAGACCTCACATAAAGAAAAATATTTCATATATTTATATTTTGGATGAAGGGATGAAGAACATGTTGTAGGGTTGCTTATACTCAAGTATTCTGATGGATGAGGCATGGAGAATCTCACTTCTTTTTAATTTTTCCTCCCTATTCTTAATTTTTTTTTTTTTTGGTTTTGCTTTTAAACTTTCCATTATTTCAAATTTATAAAATGGAGTTCATTAAAGGTAGAATCGGATTATAAGTAAACTACCAAACCTCTGGGCACTGCACGTATCTTTTACTGTAGGACATTTAATCTGAAAATATTTTGCTTTCCCTTACCATCACTTAATAACAAAGAAAGAGAAACTTGAGGACTGGGACTTTAGAAATCTGACTTACATACTTATATAAAGGCTAATAATATAGCCACTTTGAAAAATGGAAGTGCAAATCTTTTTAAAAGTCAGGCAAAATTGAGAAGAGACGGAGATTGGGACCAAAGTCCACACAGTGATGCAGCTAATGCCCAGGCTGGGAGAGGGCAGAGACTCGAAGTGAACAAACACAGAGGCATTGATACTGTTTCAGAATCTTGTTTCCGGATATTGCTTTAAGTTGACTGCTTTTACACATCCCATGGCAGAATCCTGGATAACAACTTCATTGCATCTTCAACTCATGTTAAAGTAACAAAAATTAAAATGACTTGTAATTCTATTTTCTTTATTACTTTAGTTTTCAAAAATGGTTATGGTCTACTTCATTTGTCACCCACAAAAAGATGCTGTCCCCTGCCAAGCTCAGCATCAGGAACGCCTTTGAGGGGGCTGCTTTGATAAAACATTGGCTCCATGCAGCCCTCAGATCCAAACTGGATCCCCAAACAGGGCCAAGTAAGAATCAGTAGCCTCTCAAACATGAAATGCAACCAGTGAGGCTTTCCCCTTCCCACTGTAAGCTTACACTTCTTGGAATCACCACTTTCTTGGTCCCAGAAGAACTGCCATTGTTAACAAACCATCTATGACCCCAGATGGCAATAGCCTCTTGGCCTGTTGTTCTGGTTCTCACATTATGTTTCCAGATTAACCCTGAAACTACTTGGATGATTATTTGAAACCCTGGTGCTAAGTGTGTATAGTGTTTTTTAACCCATTAAAACACAAAACTTGTTTAACCTGACACACAATGCCTCACCTCCTCTTCTCAAAACTCAAGAGTAATATCTAGAATTCACCTCTTTGTTCCCTCGCCTACTCCTCCAGCCCCTGTTCCCTGCCTCCAGGATGCCAGCACTATACATCCTCTTGGTCAAGACATAAACCTAGAAGCCATTCTTACTCTTTCTTTTCCCTGACCACCATTCAGTCACCTGATGTGGCTAGTTTTCCCCCTAAATTGCAGTTCCTCCTAAGCTCAGGCTCTCGTGATATTCTGTCTAGATCACTGCAACAGCCCTTGTGGACCTGGCCTTGGCTTCTTGAATATATTCTCCACACGGTAGCACTGTCTTGGTGAAAAGTTCAGAGATGGGCCACCACCAGATGCATACAACGTTCCCTCCCATCTGAACCCGTGCCCAGCATTCCTACCCCATTCCTTACAGCCCCAAACCTTCCCAGATGTAATGAATTTCATGGAACCACCTAAACAGGACAACCTTTTCCATATATCCATGCCTTTGCTATACTGCTGCTCTGACTTATCCTTCGGGACTCCACTTAGGTCACCTCCCCCTGGAAAGCAACACGGTATTCACCCACCTGTACCCCACCCAACCCATATGGGGCCTGTGCATCCCCAGGAAACACATAGTTACTTCCATCACTGTCTTGTCACTGCTCTGCTTGTTGCTTGCCCCATCAGACTCAAAGAAAAGTGAGGGAAGGGACAGTGTCTTATTTGTTCCCAAAGCCCAGCACTAATATTCAACATTTGCTTCTCATTAGGTACTCATACCCCTTGGATCACTAACAGTCATTTTATATAATTTAACAAATGAAAAATCTGAAGCAGAAAGCAGTTGACTTGCCTTTAGTCACAAAGCTACTTCAAAGAACTGAGACTAAAGCCATGTTTTGTGATTTCTGGCTGTGGAAGAGGCCAGAAGATTTCAGTGGGCATAATTCCAGAGAATGAACAATCCGATGGGACCCAGGAGGGGTACTGACGACTGGAAGCCCATCTGAGTAACACTTTGTCTTCCACTGACACAGAATGGGCATTACAGCTAGGGAGGCTTTAAGCAGCTACATGTTCTGAGAAAGGCCCAGTCTTTCTGCCTGACTTCCAAGGCCCACATACCATACCTTTTTCCTCTGTCACGTGGTGAAGTACTTTCTCAAGTTCAGGAAGTTTCAGCAACAAGACACAATTCGGAAATGCATCATCCACCACCACCTGATCTAGAGGCTGAAACTTTCCCTGGAAAAAACACTTTGGTCAGTTACAATGCAAGCATCCCAGCCAAAACACACACGAAAAGAGAAAAAGACATATCTCATGGTCTGTCCCTGCAACTTAGTTCAGAGCCTCTGTCCCATCTAAGAAACCCCTAAATGGGGACAGGTTCTAGGACTGATGCAGGGCTCCCTTTAAGAAGCTCTTCTGAGCACTTGGTTTCCAAGCAGCAAGCACCCTACCCCAGGGGTACAGTCACCATACGAAACAAGAAACAAAATTCTAGAAAAGTACATGAAGCCACAGAAACTTGCAAAGATGATAGTGATTGCCTAGGGCTGGTCCAACCACTCAACTTGAAGAAGAGCCCCAGAGCAGCAGCCCCACCATCACACAGGCCTGGAACCAGCCCAGATGGGCCCAGAACATTCCTCGGCCTCTCCATCCTCATTCCACAGCTGAAGAAAGAAAACCCAGCCACTTAAAGAAAAATTCAAAAGTAAATCCACTCCTGTTAGTGCTGTCAGATAATGCTTCCAAATTAAGAGGAAGAAAGAGAGAGAGAGAGAGAGAGAGAGAGAGAGAGAGAGAGAATGCTAGAGGGATACATAAATGAAGGTGTACTCAGGCTAAGCCAGGCTCAGCTAGTTAAGTCCATAAAGCCTGGGTACCAAAAGAAGAAAACTGTAGACCATAAGAATCCAGCACACACACACACACACACACAGAATCCAGACCACTATTCTTCTCAGTTAAGTTTAATTCTTCTTAGCTTTACTAATTACAAAACTAACCACTTACTCATGGATATTACTTATACTTGAAAACCCACTATAAGTCAGTTTGGACTCAGGTATTGAGCAGAAGAACATGAGTGATGCAAGCTCATCACTTCAAGGGAAAGAAAGCACTTGTAGCCTATAATAAAACTTGAACTTTCAGGCAAAAATCAGAACTGTGGAAAACTTGTATCTCCCACTATCACAGCTTCTCAATACTTCAAGGATTTTTTTGATGGTAGTAACTGATATGATATGAATATGGAATCTGCTTGCCATTGGGGCTCATGGGAGCTGTTTGGGGGTGGAGCCCTCATGAACAGATTAATCCTTTCTTACATGAGTGAGTTCAAAGGACTAGATTAGTTATTACAAGAGCAAGTTTATCCCTCATGTTCTTTCTTCTGCAAATATGTTTGCCTTTCTATTTTCACCATGAGTTAAAGGAACATAAGACCTTGACTAGTGCCATGCTCTTTGAATTCCCAGCCTTGAGAACCCTAAACCAAAGTAAACCTCTTTTGCTTATAAAATTATCCACTTTCAGGTGTTACAGAAACCAAATTGAAGTAAGACATTTACAAAGGGTGTGTATGTATAAACTGGGATGTATTAACATTTGGAAGATTTATATAACTCAGTGAACCAATATTTTTCAAATAAACCAAAACATGATGTTATAAAAAAAGATCCATGCTAAGTGAAAAACAAACCAGTGGATTTTAATGTAAGACAGCATGGAAGGATCATTGACAAGGGTTCAGATTCCACTTTATGACTAACCTTTAAGAAACTTCTCCTGGGACTGGGGATGTAGCTCAAGTGGTAGCGCGCTCGCCTGGCATGCGCGGGGTGCTGGGTTTGATCCTCAGCACCACATAAAAATAAAATAAAGATGTTGTGTCCACCAAAAACTAAAAAAATAAATATTAAAAAAATTCTCTCTCTTTAAAAAAAAAAAAGAAAAGAAACTACTCCTTATTGATTTTTGAAGTAATATCAGAGAAAAATATCCACAATTATCTTAAAAGGCTATCATGCCCTTTCCTCCCTGTTCTGATTATATCTCTGTGTGAGGCCACATATTCTTCACACAGTTCCACCAAAACAATAAACAGGCTGAATATATAAACAGACATGAGAATTCAGTGATCTTCTTTTAAGCCAGCCATTAAAAACACTGCCACATGCCTTATTAAATTTTGTTGTTTGTTTCATTAAAAATGTGTTATTTATGTCAGTTTTAATTCCTAATATAGTAAATATTGATAATTAGAGCTCATAAAAACATAAGCTTTTGGAAACCCTTAATAAGTGTGAACATATTATGAGACCAAAATGTTTCAGAACTTTAGGTTGAAACTAATATTTTTTGTAAACTCTGTCTTTCTATTACAAGGGTAAATTTTATCTATCTGGAATTTCTTAAGTCTCAACTATATCTTCCTCAATAAGCTTTCATTAGATATGTCCCTATATCACAGTCTCACAGAAGATAAACCCTTCTTCTCCTAAAGCTGGTGGTCAATTTTTACGTGTATCTGGGCACTTAATGATAAATGTTTTCAGTGTCAGGCTTTGTCAACCAGTAAGGCACAGAGCACTGTGAGCTAAGCAATTCAGAAGTGATGGGCAAGCTAATATCAAACTGGATCAAGATTGCAGCGCTGCTTCTAGGCCTGTGTGTGGGTGCTCTGACCTGTCCTAGCACACAGGATACATACCCTCCACACTTACCAAATTAAACCGGAAGTGCAGGGAATCTACATTTGAAAAGGAGAGCAGGAAGATGAGGTCATTGTAGATGACCCCCACTGGGAAACTCACCTGTTTGTTGGCCAGTATGAGGTAGTGGAGGAGCAAAAACAGGGGGTCCATGGGTGTGGCGAAGTGCAGGAGACCTCCTAAAGGTTAAAAGAACAGTAGGGCTCAGGAAGGCAAGCTGGTGAATTCCTGCTGACCTCAAGGTGAGAATCATTCACTGACAAACACATGTGAAATCCCCAATCCAAAAGGTCTTCTTATACAGGTCAAAGAAATTTACTGATCTAGTAACACGTGTGACAGCTCATCCTACCAAGCCTTAGTGCAACAAGTGGCAAGAGATGCCTCAATTTGAAGGCTGTCATTTTTTTCAATCACAGATTTCACAAATTTCTTACAAAAATCTTTACATTTCTACCTTAAATCTTGCTTCTTTCACGTTCAAACAGTCTCAAAAGGCAGAATATGCTCCACCAGATTTTACTTCAAAAAGTTGCAAATCCCTGTGTGAAGAATGGAGCTAAGACACTGAAATCTGATTTTAACTTTCCATTTCTTTTTCAGAATTCGTATTTTATAAAGCCTTCCATCCCCAAAGAAAGTAGAGGTGGGGGTAGCACAGAGGGAACCTAAACCAGGCAAACATTGGGAAACTCATATAAATCTATCTATAAAGCTCCAGTAAAAAGTAATTTCCTGTGCTTTTGAAAAGGAAGCCCTGGGAAAGCACTGTTATTCTCTTGGGACAGCTTCTTCTGGGCCTGGGGGCTCAAAGCTCATCAGGCACTTCACTAACCCAGATCCAATACCAACCCCTGCCCCCAAAGCAAAAGGCAAAATGGTAGCAATCGGCTTGAACAAACCCAAAATCCCACTCTCTGGCTGAAGGAAACAGGCAATCACAAAAAAGGCTCCTGCTTCTCTTTCCTCTATTGAACTCCCCTCCAAGGATCCCAGACAACTCCCTCCCACCCTTCCACAGAACTGCTTTGGAGGAAGTATTTTCATCAAAATAAACAAATTCAAAACAATAAACGATTCACTTACCCCTGCCCAAGTGTTTTATTTTGGTTTCAGGAAACATGTGTACTTACATTTATTTTCTAATTGAGCAACCTACCTATAAAGACAAGAAATCCTAACCCTAAACCATGAATATATATTTATAGTTTAGATCAAAAATATATATAAATATACATATATTTATAATTTAAAGTAAGGATTCATATATATGTATATATACATACACATATATCTACACATATATCTACACATATGCACACACATATATATATGAGAATCCATTTCATAGTAAGGAAAAAAATTCATAGTAAATTTTCCCCATGTCCTTTCATGGTACAGAACAAAAAAAATTCAAAGAAGCAGTTTTATGTTATGACACTATTTAATTATTTTGAAAAGTGAAAGCTCATAAAACCATAAGTTTTAAGTTAACCTTATATGAGGTATCCATTATATGCAGAAATTAGAAACAGGTTTCCAGATCGAACAGTGACATCTTGGTGGCTATTCTTAAAAACAGTTCTTTTCTTTAGAATTAAGTTTAAGAAGAAGACAATGGTAAAAAAAAAAAAATGCATGTGAAATAAATTTGTTGTGATGTGAAGATAAATTTGTTGTAAAGAAAAAAAACCAGTCTATTAAAAATAAAGGAAAGAAAAAAGTGAGTACCAACTCAAGACATCCAAGATAGATGAGCAATCACGGCTGCCCAATATTTTCCTGTGTTCTGTGTCTCTCAGCTACATTTGACGGCAAGTGTGTTACATTAGAAACCCTAACTCTCACATACTGCCAAATGAATATACACATCAACAACAATGAAAAGGGAGTACTCTCCACCCTCTAGGCTACACACAAACTACCATTGCATTTGCTCAACTAAAAACTGCTTCAATTTCCTCATGGAAATAGGTATGCAAAACTAATCAAAGCAACAAATCCTTCTTCGGGAATGTCTTAGAAGGTGGACAAAAATGGCCTGTGTATCTTAGCACTCAGTGGTAACACAGAGCCAACAGAAAGCACTCTTAAAAAGCAGTCAGAGTACCCAAACAGGCAGAAGAGCAATGGAACAGACCAGAAGATAGAGACAAACCCACATAAATGCAGTTATCTCATACTAGACAAAGATGCCAAAAACATACATTGGTGAAAAGATAGCCTATTAACAAATGGTGTTGGAAAAACTGGAAATTCATATGTAGCAGAATAAAATTTAACCCCATCTCTCACCCTGCACAAAAATTCGATTCAAATTGGATCAAACACCTAGAAATTAAACCAGAAATCTTGGACCTGCTAGAAGAAAATGCAGGCCTAACACTTTAACATGTCAGCTCAGAAACTGACTTTCTTAAAAAGATTCCTAAAGTACAAGAAGTAAATCAATAAATGGAATGGCATCAAATTAAAAAGCTTTTTCACAGCAAAGAAAACAATCAAGAGTGTGCAGAGAAAGCTACAGAATGGGAGAAAATCTTTGCTACCTGCTCTTCAGAGCATTAATATCCAGGATATACAAAGAACTAAAAAAAATCTAACACAAAAAAAAAAAACAAAAAACATGATCAATAAATAGGCAAAGGAATTAAACAGACACTGCTCAACAGGAAATATACTAATGGTCAACAAATATATGAAAAAATGTTCAATATCTCTAGAAATTAGAAAAATGCAAATTAAAACTACACTGAGATTCCATCTCACTCCAATCAGAATGGCAATTATCAAGAACAGAAGTAACAATAAATGTTAGGGAACATGTGGGAGAAAAGGTACACTCACACATTGTTGGTGGGACTGCAAATTGGTGCAAATTACTCTGGAAAGCAGTATGGAGATTCCTCAAAAAACTAGGAATGGAACCACTATTTGACGCACTATCCCACTCCTTGGTTTATATCTAAAAAATTTAAAATGAACATGCAACAATGACACAGCCTCATCAATGTTTATAGAAGCACAATTCATAACAGCCAAACTAGAGAACCAACCTAAGTGCCCTTTAACAGATGAATGGTAAAGAAAATGGTATATATACACACAATGGAGTATTACTCAGCCATAAAAAAAAATGATATTATGGCATTTGCCAGTAAATGGATGGAACTGGAGTCTATCATGCTAAGTGAAATAAGCTAGTCCAAAAGTCAAAAGTCAAATGAGAATGAAAGGAAGGGAGAAAGGATGGGATAGGGAAAGACAGTGGGATGACTCTGACCTAACTTTCCTATGTACATATATAAATACACCACAATGAATCTCACCATGTGTATCTTGAAGATATCAGTTTAAAAAAAGAAAAAAAAGATCAATGGAGTAGAGGGAGGTGAACAAGAGGTGGGAGGAAGGGAGCGGAAGGCCTGGGGACTGAATTAGAACAAACTGTATTTCATGCTTCTATAATTATGTCAAAATAAATTCTATTTTCATGTATAACTAAAAATAAATAATTAGGGGGTAAAAAAAGAAGCAATGAAAGTGGGCAGAAGAAATGCACAATGCCTCATATACCCAACCACTGCTGGACCCCAACGCGCCCCAGAACAGGGGTCAGAACACAGCTCTCTTGGTACCCTTTCTCCCTCTGAATCTAGAGCTTGGTGGTGAGGTGTGTGTGTGTGTGTGTGTGTGTGTGTGTATGGGGGTTGGGCATCCTATCATTTGAATCTGCAATGTCCCCTAAAGGCCCATGTGTTAAAGGCTTGAGCCCCAGAGTGCCACTACTGGGAAATTACAGAATCTTCCAGGTTTTTTGTGGGCAGTCTTGGGTTATTGTGGGTATTCCCTCAAAGGGAACTGTGGGAACTCAGCCTCCACTTCTTCCAATTTTTCTTTTGTTTCTGTCCATGAGCTGAGCAGTTTTGTCACATGCTATTACCATGATGTTCTGCCTTGTTAAAGGCCCAAAGCAACAGGGCCAACCAATCATGGATGGAAACTTCCAAAACTGAGCCAAAATAAACCTTCTCTTTTTATGAGCTGATTATCTCAGGTATTCATTACAGTAATGGAAACCTGAGTAACACAGGGGGGCAGTAATTTATATGAAAAGTATTTTTTTAAGGTTGCTATATTCTAGTGTCTAGAAGCTATACAAATATCCAGTTTCAAAGAAATGATGTTAAAAACTTGAAGATCCTCAAAAGAAAGTCTACAGTCAATGAGATAGGCACTTCATGATACAAAGGTAATCTAACTTCTGCCTGAGGATATGGTAGCATTTTAGGAGACAACACTGGTTAGTTTAAACTTTCCTAGCATCAAAGACACAAGTAATAGGGGTTGGGATTGAGGTTGGGGTTCAGTGTAGAGCGCTTGCCTAGCACACGTGAGGCACTGGTTCAATCCTCAGCACCACATAAAAACGAAATAGAGATATTGTGTCCACCTATAACTAAAAAATAAAATATTAAAAGTATATTTAAAAAAGACATAACTAATAATCTTTCCCTTCTCTTTGATTAAACCCTGCTCTGCTGCCAAGGAAGGATATGCCACTGACCAGACTCCCAACCAGGTGGATGGACCCATAAGCCCAGGTGTGAAGAGTGGAAAAGCAAGAGTGCATACTTAGTTACTGGAAAATATTCACATTAGTCACTTACCTGATTGAACTGACTGATTTATAAACCAAGAGTGGTGCTTTTCCTTGAAAACTTTGATTTCAAACAGCTGGTGTAGACACATATTGAACAAGTAAATGGCTCCTTCCCCTGGAAGACAAATCTGGTTTTTATATGTAAGTAAGTTTTCTCTCTCTTATACACACACACACACACACACACACACACACACCACTCATACACATATCAAACATACTGCCCTACAGTTCTGAGGACTGCTACTAATATGAGCATAAACATACATAGATACATCCTATACACGCTGACTCCCAGAAAAATCTTAGAGCTATTATATGCAAGTGCTTATTTTCCAGCTCTATAATCTTTACTGAACTTAAATCAAAAAAAGTAAAAGTGTAAGTTATTTATCTTAACTACTACAAAGACTTTCTGCATCAGATCAGGGAGAAGGAAAGCCATTCCTAAATTAGCAAACCCTAAGAGTTCAGCTAGATGGTCTGAGCTGCCACATGGGTCCCTGTCTCCAGGGCATCATGTTCCCCGCCCCCCGCCCCCCCAGCCCCAACACACAGGGATCAACACAGAAACCAAGTTCTCTTACCCCACAAGTCAATCCAAATAGGGAAGACAAGGATATGCTTCAAGATATAGGGAGTAATTAAAGCCCCACTCAACCGAAAAGCTGAAAGGATTTTCGTTTACTTCTCAAAAGAGGGTAGGAGCCCATTCATATATTCATGTTTGATCTCTTCAACTAATGAAAAGAAGAAAAAAAATCTTTCCAACTGGTGTACCATCTCTGGAGTCAAGACCCTGAGCCTGAACTTGTCTCCACCAAGAGCTGGGTATGCGCTCTTAGGGAAATTATATAAACCTTTTTGTGCCTCTCCTTCTACATCTGTAAAATGGGGCAATATTGCACTTATCTCATAGTTTTTTTTTTTTAATAAGGGCTAAAAAAACCAGAAAACATAAATAACACAGTACTTAGCATATAGTATGTGCTCAGCAAATGTTGGCCTTTATTTTTTCTTGCCAGTGTAGCAAATAAGAACATTTGTTCCTCTATTCCTATGATAATTAGACAAAACCAAATTTTTAGAAGAAATCTGGCTTTTGTTAAATGCTTTAGAATCTGTACTGCTACCCAAAACTTCTCTTGAACAAACATTTCTCACCTCAACTTAGGCTTAAACATGACACCAATTACATTCAATTTCATTTTAGGGAAAAGAACATTGGAGGAAGTCATGAATTTTTTCACCTCTCTTGTTGCTTCTATTGATCATGTCTCTCCAACAATAAGGCACTACCCATTTGCTTTCCCTCATTTCACTATCCAGCATTATGGGCACCAGGAGAATGCTCTCATCTGCTAAGAATCAGGTATCTACTCAAAAAAACACCACCAATATCACTATACTACATACGTACAGAATATTTTAATATTTTTGCCTAAAAATCAGAAGATAAAACTGAAAATATGCTGAATGTAAAGTTAAAATAAAACTGATATCCAAGAAAATATTAATCTCTTCAATGTACAATACTTTTAATTAAAAAGAAAATCATCCCTGACAGGAGAAAAAACAACATACTACTTTTTGGCAGGAATAAAATAAGGGAAGTACAGTTAAAAATGAAACTAATCAAAATCTTGGCATGTCAAGTAAAAGCCTTCTGCTTTTTTACTTTGGTTGTTTATTTTACTTTGTAATATAAAATGAATATAAATGAAGGCTAACATTGAATAACTACTAAGAAAAGTTGGCTTAAGAAAGCCAAAGAAAATTCATCTGTTTTCAGAAAGAACTCAAACACGCTACTTTTTTGTTTTGCCAACATTTCTGATGACCTTAAAGTTCTGTGGATTAAAGCTATAAGAAGAAATTTTTCAAAAAATGTCGAGGGGTAATTATCTAGGAAAACTAGGAAATGTCATCAGCTTGCTTTTGTGACCTCATGATGCCATCTTAACTTTAAAAGCTGTTTAGGAAGAAGACGCACCAGTACCAAATGTGTCCATGCACTTATCAGTCACACCAGCCACAGGGAGAAGGACATTCAGGACACCAGCATCTGAGGAACAGGGAGGGAGGGAGAGCTCACCTGAACAAGGGTTAACCAATTTTACAAACATCAGGCCACTTTTCGTCTTCTTTGAAGCATCTTTTAAATATTCTGAAAAGAAATGGGGGTCATAAAATTAAGAGATGCTTGATCTGCTTCTTATTTTACCTACTTCACTGTTTTCCTTCCTAAATTTTAACTTAATTTATCACTTACAAGCTGATGACCGGTTTCTCCAGGAGTTGCAGTGGAATTTCGGGGAGTTTTAATTTATCTGTTTGGGAAGTGATGAGGCTCAGGCTCTGGCGTCACATGGCCTGGGCTATATATAACTTTTGTCACCTTGGGCAAGTGACTTTACTCTCCTGGTTCAAACGCCTTTTCTAAGATGGTGATAATAGGACATGTGCTTTTTAAAGAATTAACCTAGGTAATCTATAGAAAGCACTTATCATAATAAACAGAAATAAATGACAGCTATCATTAATACTATTATTATGAAGCAGAACATTCTTTTTTTTTATATTTTTTATTGTTGGCTGTTCAAAACATTACATAGTTCTTGATATATCATATTTCACACTTTGATTCAAGTGGGTTATGAGCTCCCATTTTTACCCCATATACAGATTGCAGAATCACATCAGTTACACATCCATTGATTTACATATTGCCGTACTAGTGTCTGTTGTGTTCTGCTGCCTTTCCTATCCTCTACTATCCCCCCTCCCCTCCCCTCCCCTCCCCTCTTCTCTCTCTGCCCCCTCTACTGACATTCATTTGTCCCCCTTGTATTATTTTTCCCTTTCCCCTCACTTCCTCTTGTATGTACTTTTGTATAACTCTGAGGGTCTCCTTCCATTTCCATGCAATTTCCCTTCTCTCTCCCTTTCCCTCCCACCTCTCATCCCTGTTTAATGTTAATCTTCTTCTCATGCTCTTCGACCCTACTCTGTTCTTAGTTACTCTCCTTATATCAAAGAAGACATTTGGCATTTGTTTTTTAGGGATTGGCTAGCTTCACTTAGCATAATCTGCTCTAATGCCATCCATTTCCCTGTAAATTCTATGATTTTGTCATTTTTTAATGCAGAATAATACTCCATTGTGTATAAATGCCACATTTTTTTTATCCATTCATCTATTGAAGGGCATCTAGGTTGGTTCCACAGTCTTGCTATTGTGAATTGTGCTGCTATGAACATCGATGTAGCAGTGTCCCTGTAGCATGCTCTTTTTAGGTCTTTAGGGAATAGACCAAGAAGGGGAATAGCTGGGTCAAATGGTGGCTCCATTCCCAGCTTTCCAAGAAATCTCCATACTGCTTTCCAAATTGGCTGCACCAATTTGCAGTCCCACCAGCAATGTACAAGTGTACCCTTTTCCCCACATCCTCGCCAGCACTTGTTGTTGTTTGACTTCATAATGGCTGCCAATCTAACTGGAGTGAGATGGTATCTTAGAGTGGTTTTGATTTGCATTTCTCTGACTGCTAGAGATGGTGAGCATTTTTTCATGTACTTGTTGATTGATTGTATGTCCTCCTCTGAGAAGTGTCTGTTCAGGTCCTTGGCCCATTTGTTGATTGGGTTGTTTGTTCTCTTATTGTCTAATTTTTTGAGTGCAGAACATTCTTAAAATAAATATTTATTGGACATTTATATTTTTTACCTCCATCATTACTGAATTATGTCTTTTGGCCATTTTTCTGTTAAAATATTCACCTTTTCTCCCCCCTTACTTTATGAGGAATCTTAAAAGGAGTCTTTATAAGGATATTAACTCTGTTTTTAATTGTTTATAATGAATCTTTTCTGCCATATAAAAATATGAAATCTTCTTGCAATCAGATCGTTATTTTTCAATATGCTTATATCTTTTGTGTCATACTTAAAAGGCTTTTTCTTCCTCAAAAGCATGTGAATTACCTGTATTTTCTTCTAATATTTTTAAATAATATCTCTAACCTATCTGGGTATAAGATAGAGGGGGGAAATCAAGCATTCTTTTTTCAGGGTTGGCCAGATGTATCAACACCACCTACTGAATAAACTCATCATAAAAATATTACCATTATGCAAAAATATTTAAAATACATCTCTAGGTCTGTTTAAAGACATTCCATTTTGATCTACTAAGTATCTCAAATTCTTATTGATTATGGATTTAATTTTAATATCTGGTAAGACAAGTCCTCTCATTTTGTTTCCTTTACAATATTTGACTGTCAAAGTTTTAATCATGCAGATCAAAAGAGAAAGATAAGACAATATCACTGATAACATCTTTCATATACTGTGAATGGCACACTCGGGGAACTCTTTTTAAATTCTGATTAGAAAGGCAATGTAGCAACAGTTTACCAAAAGAGTAAAACAGAAAGCTACGGGGAGGGAAGGGAGCTTTTATTCTCTGTGGTCTGTACTCCCTTTGCTCCATTTTGAATCTATATACACTTAGATACAGCAAGCACGTTGAGGAAGTGCTTTAATACATGATTAAAATACCACTCTTTCCCAAAACTAACATTGCTATTAAATATGTAAAGAAAAAGACAACCTGATTTTGAGATTTCTACTTTCAACTGAGATACGGTAGATAGAATTCCATTTACTCTCCCACTTGAAATAACTCAAAACAAACACCACACAAAACATAGGAAACCACTGTTCTCAAGACACTGATCAGTGTGTGCATGTGATGAAACTACCCAAGGGACAGGTGAAAACCATCTGAACAGATTAGGGAAAACAGCACCTCACACTCATACCTCTAAGTTGCCCTTATTCCTGTTCCTCATAATTCACAGGGCATTAGGTAGAGTACGCAAAAGGGTGTTAACTCAGTAGTAGGGAAGGAGGAGACCTAAATTAAATACTGCTCTGGTCTCGCCGAACTAATTTTAAAAGCAACACCTAAATGGATCAAACTCTTCCCAAGTAACTTAACTTATTCCTGAAGTTAAAGAATATTTATAGAACTGAAAAAGGTAAAATTCACAATGTCTGACACTGAATCAAATTCATTCAACAAAGTGAAAAAAAATATGGCCGATGGTGAGGAACAAAACCTCAATTATTGAAAGAGGGGTACTGATATTATACACCACGTATGAGAATTTACAAAGGCATTGGAAACAGCATTTCTCATGCGCAAAAAGTTAAGTATAGATAGGAGATTTTTTTAAAAAACCAAACTGATTTTTTAGAGATGAAAAATACATCAGATAGGATTAATGGCAGAAGATTAATGAATTTGAAGACAGAGAAACAAAGTCTAAAATGAAAACATAAAAAGAAAATTTTTAAAAGACGAGGATCAGTGACCTATGGGACAAATTCAAGAACTTATCATAATAAACAGATAATATACACCTAATTACACCCAATTAAAGTTTTCAAAAGAAAGGAAAAGGAGAACAGAAAAATATTTGAAAAAAGTATGCCTGAAATGTTTCCAAATTATGAAAATTGTAACCACACACATCCAAGAAGCTCAGTGATTTCAACCACAAAAGAATCAGAATAAAACTATACATCATAATTAGTAGTTTGAAAACAGCAATAAAAAGAAAAATCTTAAAAGCAGCCAAAGAGAGAAAAAAGACATATTTTGTACAGAAGACCAAAACAAGGAATGACAGCAATTTTTTTGTGAAAACAATGCAAACTTAAAGACAATGGAGAAACATCTGCAAAGTACTCAAATAAAACACAGCAATCCCATAAAACCTCCCCTGAAAATCAAGGGTAGAAAATAGACTTTTTCAGAAATATAAGAGCTGAAGCAAATCAGCAACATACCCACACTACAAAGAATGCTAAAAGAATCCTCTGGCAAACACTATGATACCAGATGAAAATCAGAATCTAAACAAAGAAACCAAGAAAGTAGGTAATGGTAACTGCAGGGGTAAATAAAAAATAGTCTTTAAATATTACTCTTTAAACAAAAAGAACAATTTACTGTGGGGTTTATAACATATGTATGCATAAAATGTATGACAACGATAGTATCAAGGCCAGAAGGGAAGAAGCATAAGGATACTCCTCTAAGTGTCTTATACCATGTGTGAAGTGATAGAATATCGCTTGATATCAAATATCAAATCGCTTGAAGGCAGATGTGATGATTTAAATGTGTGTACAATAAACTCAAAGGCAATCACAAACATAAAACAAAAACAAAAAATGCTGTTACTAATAAGACAACAAAGGAGATGAAATAGAACTAAAAAAAATACATATTTAATCTAAAAGAAGATAGAGAAAGAGTAAAAGGCACAAAGAACAGATGAGACAAACAGGAAACAAACAGCAGGAGGACAGACTCACCCCCAACCATATCAACAATCACATTCACGTGTCAGGTCTAAACATCCCAACTAAACGCAGACATGGTCAGCCTGGATTTTAAAAGGTGAGATAAAACTATATGCTGCTTGCAAGAAACACACTTGAGTCACAGACACAAGTAGAATAAAAGTAAAAGGAAGATTATATTGTGCTTATCATGCTAATACCAACCAAAGGAAAGTGACTAAATTGATAACAGAAGACTATTACCAGGGATTAAGAAGGCCAGTTTATAATGATAGAAGGGATTAGCTCAGAGGACATAACACTTCTAAATATGCACCCAATACACGGCTTCAAAATGCATAAAGCAAAAACTGATGGGGCTCTCTACTCTATCCCTCCCCCCGGACCATTAATCTGTTTTCTCTATTCATTTTGCCATTTTAACAATATTATATAAATGGAACCATACAGATTTAATTTTAAGAATCTTTTAAGATTTTTCTTTTTGTAACTTATTTCCAGATAAAGCTGAGCACTGTTTAACATTTTTCCAAAAAACTAAAGAGTAGTTTTCCTCCCTTCCCCTCCTGCTGATTCTCATCCAACTCACCCCCAGCATCATGAACCTTCATATATATCTTAAGATCCAGGTGACCTCTTTCTGTGTTAGCTTCACTATAACAGTAGACCTTTCAATTTTAACTTGATGAATTATCGTTGACTTTTTGTTTCTTTTTTTTTCCAAAGTTACTGGATCTCGTAAGCCTGACACATTCTCCTTCAGTTTTCCCCATTCCTCCAGAGCCTACA